CCCTCTATGGTACTCCTGTGACGGCTGGGCTGTGCAGAGATACTGATGTGCTGCTTGGGCTCATTCTCAGGGAAGTTCACTCCCATTAGGGTGTTCATTCATCCACTTTGAAAGTGTGATTGCAGAGGGCAAGGCAAAGGCAAGCCCATGCTGTGGGAAAGGTGGTGGTCAGGATTATGGCTCTGGTTCTTAAGAGGTTTTCTCCTGTAGAAGATGTGCACAGTGCTGTGAAGGCAACCTGCTCTGATCAGCAGTTACCTCTTGGAAATGCGTTAAAAATGCTTCTTCTCTATCTGATTTTTCTCTCCCTGACACCCTTTCCATATAGAAAAAAGCCAAAGCCAGCTCTTGAGTTAATTGAGCATTTTGAGGGTGTCATGCAGGAAACACAAACACAATGCAGACTGCATTTTGTATCACCTCTTCTGTTAACTTGCCAAGTCACTTCCCAGCATATGCTAACATAAAATAAAGCACTCTAAAAACAAAGCTGAGCTAGAAATAAAAATAACAGAGGAAATGAACAACTTGGTTCGATCTATGGCCCATACCAAGGAAAACAGGAGGATTGCGGCTCAGTTCTTAAAATGTAAATAAAAGCATGAAAGTTTGAGAGCTAGAGTTTGGTGGGATGGCATCCTGATGGGAGCAGCATTCCTCGAGCTGGGTGCAGCTTGGGGTTGCTAAGGTTGGGAAGGGACAATCCCAAAGGAGAGTCCTTGGGTCAGGCTTCACATTGGGCATGCCCATATCTGCAGATGGGAATTCTCAGGACACTCATTAAAAGCCTGATTTCTGTTTGACCTTGCCCTATTTTAATTGTTTTCAGAAGGCAAAAATGTGCCCTGGCTGCTTGCAGAGACAGTGGAGAGGGGATTTGTGGTGCTGGAAGCTATGTGTGAGGAGGGACAACTACCTGCTGTGGTCTTGCTCTTCCACCTGTGATGGCCAAAGCAGCTCTGAAAAGAGAAGGCAGCTCTTTCCTCCAAACACAGATGTGCTTTCCTAGTGTCTGATGCCTGCTGCATTTCACCAGCAAAAATGCAACCCCTTTGTTTTCCTAAGCTTGCAAAGCACTTTGAGATCCTTCAAGATGAAAAACGTTACAGAAGTACCAAGCCACCATATTTATTATTTTGGCAATGAGCATTTCTAGACCAAAGTCAGCAAACCTCATTTCTTTCTTGCTTTTGTTACTGTCCCTCTCTTGGGTTATTTTAGGAAAGCACTTACATGCACATACTGTGTATGTGAAGCTGGGTGCGTGTGAATGGTCCATTCAGCTCTTTACTGGAATAATACAGATCTTCTGTGATCTTTTACAGTCAAATATCTCTGAACCTCTTAAGAATTTATAATCCTGTTGTTTTTCTTTTTATAGGGGATTTTTTTTTTCCCCAGACTCCACCTGTCTTTATGGGAAACCAATTATTACTCCTGAAAAACAGAAATACCACTGTACATTTGTTTTGGAGATGAAATAGATTTTAAAGAATACAATGAGAGGGGGGAGGAAAAAAAACAAACACCGCTTGGATATTTCCTGCCTTAGCAGAGGCAGATCCTTTATTATTAGTGAGACCACTAGAGGTAGGTAGGTACTGGAGGCTAGAGCTTAACCCTCCTTTAAATACTCAAGCCTCTTATCCAAGAGAGTAATACTATAAATAACACTTCCTACTTCTAAGACTCTGTGGATCTGATTTGCTCAGTGTGTTTGCTAAGGGCACAAGCATAAGCTGTAATTTGACATGCTATCACCTCACAGCTGGTCAGGGAAAGCCATGCGAAGAGGCAAACAGCCCATGTTCAGGGTGCTTGGAGCTGCCTCATGGCAACAGAGAGCTGAAGAGAACCACTTGGGTGCACTTGCAGCCTGGCTGATGAGCAGAAACATCTTCAGACAGTGTAATTTGGATTATTTCAGCCCTGCGCCCAACCTCTGCTAATGGCTGGAATCTCTGGCCAGGAGAAGCCACTCTAGAACATGTCTTCTCCAAAGACCAGCTCCTTGGCTGCCTTCCTCTTGCCCAGCTGTGGCACTACATCTTCAGATCTCAGTGCTGCAAGAGAAAGGAGAGGGGAGGCTCAAGGGTCCCATTGGGTCCTTCCATGGTCATTTGCAGGGGACAGCAGGCACTGTGTGCTTTGGTGCTAGGGAAGCAGGCTTGCACTTCATCACTTGAGCCTGTTGGCTGTGGGAGACTCAGAATGCTTTTCCCACAGGTGGGATGCGCCTAGGAATCCTCCTTGCTGTGGAGCTGCTGATGTCTAACAGAAATAAGTTGACAGGGCCTTGGACTTCCTCCTCTTTCACCAGCTATGTGTTTCTACAGAGCTTTCAAGAGAATAACATTCACTTTCTGCTATTTGTCCTTTTACATCTGCCCATACACAAGCAATGCTCAGCTATGTCTGGTTAGTCTGCTCCTCCTTTCAGTCACTTCTGAGGGGGGATGGGAAGCTCCCAAGCAATGAGAGAATAAAAATTATTTTAAAAGATGAGAAAACGTAATTGAAAAACCACATCAGTTGGCTGGGGGCTTGGAAGCATGTGTGTACATAGCTCTAACAGCTACCAGGAGGAAACAGTCTGCATTTCAGGTGGACACTGATCCTTTAATGTAAGGCTGAGAATAATATTTATATGCTGACTCACCTTGATTTATGTTTCTGTATAAATCACACATGCACTTTAAAAAAAAAAAAAAGTCAAAAGCGACTGCAGGATATTCACAGCTTCCAGGGCTCAACATAAATCAATCGTACCATGATCACACAAGCTTTTAGACAGGCGCACACACACTCATTCATTATCAGGGATGTTTGTCCATCCAGGGTCATCAACAGAAGAAAAGTAAGGATGGCAGCAGTGATATGATGACCCCAGCCAGAGCCCTTTGTTCTCAGTGCTTCCACAAAAGCTCAGGCTCAAACACAGCACTCCCAGCTCAGGGATTTTAATAACCAGGGGCTGCCAGCCCCACTGCCCCTCCTGGATGAACCTGAACACAATACCCTCATCCTCCTTGCATCTGCATTTCTGGCGTGCTCTTGGCTTAGTCTACGTTGGATAGTGGTCCTTCCTTGTGTTTTTCCTCACTTTTCTTGCTTGGAAAGAGCTCCCCATTCTGTAAACACTGCCTCTCATTTACAGCTTTACAAAGACAGGTGGGCACCGTTGAGTGCCTGACATCAATTAATTAGCGTGTGGCTGCTACTGTCATACCAGCAAACTGTAGTGAGGCAGCACAAGTCAGCACAGGGAGGGTGCCAGCTGCAGTGGGGACCAATGTGCCCAGTGGTGTGTGGAAGAATGGGGTGAGATAAGATGATATTGTATTGCACATGATGGTGATGGGTCAACGGTTGGATTTGATGATCTTGATGTTGGTAAAGCGTATATAGAAGAAACCCACGTTTCAGCTTCAGTACCCTTCACTAACAACTTCTTAGAAGGGAGAACTTTGTTTTGCCATTAGGAAATAGCCCTTTAGTGTAGCTCTATACAGACGCACAGGCCATATGCTAATTTTTTTTTCCCCAGCCCTATTTCCTCTACAGCAGTATAAACAAATCGAGTCTACTGACACTGGACTTTCCAGTGACAGCTCCAAACCCACCAGAGAATAGCCATGAAAAAACTCAAAGAGTGAATCACAATTGTTGGGGTTGGAAGGGAGCTCTGAAAGCCATCAGATCCAATCCCACCACTCAAGTTCATGCTTGCAAGCATATAGATGTAAAATAATTATAACGGAAGCCCAGAGCCCCTGGAGAAGAACCTGGGGATACCTGTAGTGTTGCTGGCCATGTCCTTCCTTGTGCTGCAGCAGGCAGATGGGGGGCTTGGAGGGGCTAGGCACAGCCAGTGTCCGTAGGGCCACAGCTGCAATGCCCACAAGTGGTGAGGAGAAGTTAAGCAGCATTGATCCAGCCCAGAGGGATGGTGGCTCCTGCCCGTGGGTCACGCTAATGATGAGTGGGTTTTGCTGGCATGACACCTCATGTGTTCCTGCAAGAAGTAGAAAGAAGTTGCTAGCTGGGAGCTCTTTCTCTCATTTTGGTTTTCTTCTCCTGCTTGCCCATACATTCCAATGGATCAGCTTGGAACAATGTTTGGGAAGCAGAAAGTGTTGCAAGGTGAAAGAGGGATACCAGCTCCCAAATCAGTGACAGATGGCTGCCAGTGTCCCTACCAAGACACTATGGACAGGTGGCACAGTACACAGGATGCTCACCCAAAGAGTGGTTCAGCCCATCCACATCACCCAGCTGGACGGTCACCCGGGGTTTGTGCTGGTTGCTTGAGATGGTGCCATCAGAGGCCAGGAAGAGTAGGACGGCGGTTGGCACCACGGGTCTCTCGAAGCACACCTGGGCAAGGAGAGCAAAGGAGACCCTGAGAGCGAGGACACCTAATGCAACCTTTGTGATCCCGAGGGAGAGAGGTGGACTAGGGTAGCTCTTAACCAAAACCCAGACAGCCCCCTCTCTCACCTTCCATGCACGCCACAAGTGGTGCATCTAGAGAGCACAGCCACAAATAGCACCACTGCAATATTTCTGTTGAGGATGAGAACTGGCCCCAGCACTTGGAGTGATTGTGGGCTGTCTGTCAGTCAGCATGGGGAAAGATTTGTGGCAGAATGTCCTGCCTGCTCAAGGAGCCAACAGCTTCCTGCTTGTCTGCAGCCAGGAGACAACCAGGAAATGCATGCCATCGAGTATGGTGGGGCAGATGTTCCTTGGAAGTAAGAGGGTAGCAATGTTTTTCTCCCCTACCCTGGCACCAAGATGTGTTTTGATTCAGTTCCACTCTACAGAGTGTTTCTGTTGAACGTAGGTATACTTGGATCCCAGGAATTCAAAGCAAAGCTGTGTTTGGGAGAGGTCCCAGCTGATCACATCAGGCATTGCTTATAGGTATTGTGGGATTCGGCTCTACCCCAGTGCTGGTATGGGGCTGAGGAAGGTATTATCCCCACTGTTCCCCATCCTCACTCAGCATACAAAGGGTGGAAGAGACATTGGCATAGACTGGAGCAGGAGAAATCCTTCTGCATCAGCTCAGGTCTGCCAGCCTGCAGAGTGGCCCCAAGTTAAAGCCACAGCAGCTGACTCATTTAACATCCCAGTTCTTTCCTTTCCTTTTTTTTTTTTTTTTTTTTTTTTTTCATATTTTTAATTTATTTTTACATATTTCATGCTTGACCACAGCAAGCTATCTTAATTTCTCTTCTCCCTCTCTCTCCCCCTTCCCGTTTAATTTCCTGTGTGTTACGCATCCTGACTTGCCTCCAAGTGATTTTGATTCCTCTCTTCCTCAGATGTGTTGGAAACAGAGAACAAAGCATGGCCACAGATCTGCAAATGGTAATTATTCCCATCTGCACGGTAGATGCCTCATTAGGTGGCACAGCCATGTGCACCTCTTGCCCTCAGCCTGCCTACAGCCTGACCCAAAGTTTCCCTTGCTCATTGGTGCCACCTCTTCAGCAAGACAGTGGGAAGTAATTCCTACCCTATGACAAGCCTTGTGGCGTGTTTTTAGCCTTCGTGGCACAGGTGCAGCTCTAAAATGGCCATGGGGATTGGTAGCCACGAAACTGTGCACATGAATGTGTGAACAGTTCCTGGCCATGCAGGCGGGTGTGCTAAGTAAATTGTCAACAAGAATCCATCTTTCCCAACCCAATATGTTACCAATCAGGCAAACTATTAAGGAAAAAAAAAAAAAAAAAGAGGAGAAAAAAAGAGGCATATTTATTACTAGTCCATAAATAATTTTATGGATGGAAAATAATAGCACTCTTAAAGAGAGCATGGAGAACCAGTAATGAAAGTCTTTAATATAAACATCCATAGAGGAAGAGAACTGACCACAAGCTCCAATAAAACTGGAACATGCTTTAACCCCTGGTGAGAGGTGGAAAGGAAGCTTTCATCTAGGTAGGGCAGAGGGAGATTTCTGCTTTCGTGCTTAGCAAAAGAAGAAAGGAGGTCCATTTGTCATGGCTGGCACTAAAGACTGAAGCTGGAAAGTAGGTTGTGAGCACAGACAGAAGGAAGGAAAAAAAAAAACACACAACAGTTTAAGGAATCTCTTTGGAGAAGCAGAGGAGCTCAGAGGGTAGAGAGGCAGCAGCAAAGTTTGACTCTGGTTTGAGTGGGTGGCAGCCCTGCACACAGCAGGGGGTTGGAATTAGATGATTTTTAAGGCCCTTTCCAGCTGAAGCTGTTCTGTGGTTCTGCCCTGTGATTCTGAGAGCCCCAGGCTGATGTGCTGTGTAAAAGGCCTCCAGCAATGCAGGCCAGGTGTTTCTCAGGCTGCAAGGAGGCAGCAAGCCCAGCTTTCCAGCAACACCAGACAGGAGCCATGAAACCTCTGCACCACGGCTGCAGCCAGAAAATCAGTGCTGTAAAAATCACTTAGGTCTAACCCTTGGCTCTTCCATTCCCTGCTCCTCTGCCTGCTGGGATGAAGAGGTCTGATGCTCCAGGCTCTCTCCTGAAAGCCCCAAAGCCGCCAGGACTGGTATGGGGTCAGCAGGGGCAGCACCTGCATACCGTGGCTGGCTGCTGTGGGCTTTACAAAGAGTTCAGTGAGGTACACAGCCCTATCTGATCAGCAGTTAAGACTCCTATAGCTCCTACAGAAGGACAGAAAAGAAGTGGCTCTGGTCACCAAAGTGCTGGGGCGAAGGCAAGCGAATCCTCTCATCCCTGACTGCACACCTTGCTTACCTTCAGCCAAACTCTCTCTCCACTCAAGGGCATCTTCTCATCTGGATCCTGAGCATTCTCTTGGCTGGGAGCACATGGGAACCAAGCAGCCTGGGAAAGGTCCTTTGGCACAGTGTGAAGGTAGGATTTACATGCCTGAAAGGAGAGCATTTCTGGTTTGCTTTTTTTTTTTTTTTTTTTAATACAGAAAGAAGAGAAGAAAGTGGGAGAAAGGTTTTGCAAGTTCTCTTATTCTCTAAAGTAAGGCACAACGCAATGTGAAGCAGAGATATGGTATTTCCTAGCATGAAGGTAGTTAGTTTGTGGGACTGACAGATAAACATCCACCACATGCACATTAGACTTTTGTCCTTTTAGGATGCTGTAAATAAGATCTTGAGGTAGCACCTGTGGGGCTAATGACCGGCAGTAATGACCAGGTTCTAGGATGGTAGGAGGACCACAGTCTCTGTGACTGAGTCAACAAGATCTGAAGATGCAAACTGTTTGCCTGAATGCCAGATTTCAGCCACATCAGTAACCTCAGCCATCTCCATAGGCCTGCAGGACAAAGCCTAGGAGATAAGTACATGTGTCCTCCTAGAGCAGCAGGCACCTGAGGCCAAGGCTGCTCACTAAACACATGTGAACTAACAATTTAATGATGATTTGGATCTTGTGAAGGATGTGCCTTACATTAGGTCAACTGAAGTGCACGTGCAGGTAGCTAAATACGTGCCCTCTCTACGCTTCTTCCCCTTCTTCAGTTTGTTAGCAAAGAATACACACACATTATGTTAAAACTGATCATGTGAAATCCCGTTCTAGACCTCCAGGGCCCTGATCCAAAACCTATATGAAAGATGGGAATTCTCCCATTGATTTTTGCTTTGGCTCCAGAACAGAGAGCTTGAGAGCAACGCAGATGTTGATGCATGTGTGATTTTGATCCTTTCAGGCCCTCACCTTATAGGGTATTCTATTTATTTATTTATTTGACTTTATAGCATTGCTCATACGCTCCAAGTTGCACATCAAGCTGATGGGATGGGGTGGTCACTATTTGTCAAACTGTATGATGCAGAGGAGATGCTCCTTGTTTGGATGAGACCTCCATGCACTGCAGTTCCTGGCCCTAGGAACTGCTGAAAGAGGGATGTAAGAAATGTCCCAGTCATTTGCTGGCTCTCTGCATGGGAACACAGTAGTCCAGAGTTGCGCTGACTTTTTTTTTTTTTTTATTTCTTCTTTAGTACACTCCTGCACAGGCAGTGAATTCCCCAGCTTTACTACATGGACAATGCTAGAATAGACCTAAAGACTTTTTTATTTTTATTTTTTTTAATTTTTATCATGCCTAATCTCACCTTTGCAATGGGCTCTCCGGTGACCAAGGAAGCAGGGCAGGACTTCTCATCCTGATGAGAGGCAAAAGCTTTTGCTGCCCACAGGTCCATGAATCCATCTGGTGTGTAGGGACCACAATCCATGACACTGGTGGTTTTCTCGAAGGGCTCACACACACCGTCTCCATCATGCACATAGCACAGGCTTGGCTCCCCTAGAGGAGATGGAGAATGCCCTGCTTACAAACTGAGATCCAGCCACACGTATTTCCTGTCCTAGGAGGCATGCTGGCCACTTGGCCTTGGGATTTCCCATCTCAAGGACCTGGCATGCCTTGGAGATGACCCCAGCTGCAGACTGACATTTTATTGTGATGTGGTGCTATGGACTGTGATGAGGGAGGTGTGAGTAGTTCACTGCTTGATTCCTGCTGAGTAAGGTTGCCTAAATCCATTTGGACTCACCCACACAGTTGAAGCCTTTTTCCTTTTTACACTTCCTGGAACAGCCATCTCCATCCAGCAAATCCCCATCATCGCATTCTTCTTCCAGGCTCCTATAAGGACCACAGCAGGATTTTTTCACACCTTTGACTCACATTTCCTAGGTGCTTCTTCCTAATGACAAGTGAGGACTCCATATCTTGGGTCCATTTCCAAAGAAGGGCAACATGTGAAATAAAGGAAGGAAGGGGCCACATCTTTCCAGGAGATTAAAAAAGGGAGAGTGTTCAGGTTGGATTGCTCATCCAGACCCTGCCCCTCACACAGAGTGCCTCTATCTCCTTTACATGTGATGTTTCACAAACATAAGCTCTATAGCCCATTCTGATGGGAGGACTCAACACAGTCATATACCCCTCACTGGAGGACCAACCCCATGATTCTCTTTGGAGCAGGGTGACCCGACAGCTTCAAGACCCTGCACTGAGAGGAAGGGGTTTCTTGACTTACACAGTCACCTTTCCATCCCCACAGTAGGGTGCTCCATGGACATGTACGAGTGGTGGGGATGCTTCTCCCAAGGTTGTCCCAGAGACTGCCTGCACCTGATAGCGGTACACTTGCCCAGGAGTGACTTCCCTGCAGGAACAGAAAGCATGAACAAAGAGCAGGAGAGAAGAATCCATTCATCTGCAACAAATTTGCTCACCCAGGCTATAAAAATCATATGTCTGTACCCAGGCAGCATCATGGTTTGATATATGTCTTCGTACATTAAAATGCCAGAGGCAGGGGCTGTGGGAAGAGGGTTGCTGCTATGTCATGCAGAGGGGCCTGCCTTTTTTTTTTTTTTTTTTTCCCCTAGGGTCTGAGCTGGGGCGAAGTTGCATTAACTCTAACAATCATTTTACTGGTTATGTTTCTGGGTTTAACGAGCTGCTTCTCATTAGCAAGGGCTGTGCTAGCACAACAGGGCTACAGCAGGCTTCCTGAACTCTGAACAAGGAATCTGCTCACAGCATTGAGCACGGCAGTTCTCACAATAAGAACTCACACTGGCACCAAAAGGCAGCACTCACGTGTCGACAAACTCACGGTGCACCTGCACAGAGGTGGCAGGGGAACCATTGGCAAAAGGGGGATCCCGGAGGACGCGGTACTGGATGAGCTTACAGGAGGAGCAGAGGGAACTGTGAGGGAGGGAGGTCAGCAGGGCCGTGTCTATCTCCATCCTCTCGTCAAAGGTGTAGATTTTGACCCCGGACACCTTTTTGTGGATGTTGAGCTTTACGGTAAAGGGAACGTCACAGTAAGTGTCCAGCGGGCCTAAATGGATGGACTCCCCCTGCTCCATCAGGATTTCAATGTCAGCCAGTGCCTTGGGAGCATCTGTGGAGAGGTACGTGGTCCAGAGAGTGAGGGAGTCGGGGTAGACAGGGTGCAGGAAGCGTAGCTCCAGGATGCAGCCATCCGGCTGGGGACAGGGCACTGTCATGTTCATGTGGTAGAGGTGGAGTTCTGGGCTCCAGGCCTGAAGGCTGGGCTCACAGGGCTGGTCCACATCTGGGGGGCCTGGGCAGGAGGAGTGAAGAGCAAAAGGTGAGGACCCACCTCCTGGTTACACACACAAGCATCAGATCTGCATAGTCTTGTCTTACTGCCATTCAACCAATGGAGATGAGGAGATGCATGCTGCATCAGGTGCAGACCTAGTGCATTTCTATTGTACTCAGCAGGAGAAAGGTAGCTCTGGGCTTTCAGTCCCACCAAGCATCACCAAATTTCTTGTGTAGTGAAATACTCTCATCACCAAAAACTGCAAGCATCCCCTGGGGCCCAGTAGTTCAAAGCCTGCATCTGTTTAAAGCCTGCATCAGTCTTCTAAAAAACCCCAAACCTGTCTCTTTTTCAACAGAGCCAACATGCGCTTGTGGTAATTACAGGCTGATGCAAAGGAGAAAATAACATCTAATACTTCCAGCTGTAGTTTTAATTTGCCAGTGAATCAGACAGGCGGGGGAAACAGGAACCACTGAAGATAAATGAGCCAAGCTTTCGTTTGTTTGGTATCACTGAATAAGCACAAATTTGTGTATTTCTTCAACTTGCCTTTGTGCATGTGTGTGTGATTTGTACTGCTGGCAAGCGATAATCCCATGAAATGCAAAATCTAGAGATGAGTTTTCAGATGCTGAGCATCAGCTACATCCTGACACTCGTGTTCTCAGTGCATGGGCTTCAATCCATGGGGACAATAAAGTCCAAGCTGTACTTTCTCAGCCCTCACTCATTTTCTGTCAGCCTTGGTGGCTGATGCACATGCAAATGCACAGAACCAGCAGGTCCTCTGGATCCACACATTCCAACAACAGCATGGACACTACAGACAGCCTGTGAGATCGCTTCACCTGTTCTCCTGCATTAGTGAGCCTCCCTGACAAGCAGACAATTAGCTCTCTCAGAGAAAGGCTCCATTTTCTTTTTCCAACCTCATCTCTGCTCGGGGGATTCACAGCCAAGGAAAGAGAAGAGTTTACCTTCTGCTTCTTCTGGGGTCCAGTAGCCAGAGGAATCACAGACCCGAGGGGATGAGGCCTCGTGCACATATTGCCGAAAAGTGCCGTCCTCAGCACAGTCATCGCAGAGCGGGTCCAGTTCCCTGCAGACCAGAGATGCAGAGGAACAACATGTGTAATTGTGACCAGTTCATTTACCATCCAAGTTTACCCAGGCAGGATCGTAGTCTACCTAGATTTCGTTCTAGGGGTCTAGCCTCTTCTCCCAGGTAACAGCAATAGGACAAAAGGGGATGGCCTCAAGTTGTGCCAGGGGAGGTTCAGATTGGGTATTAGAAAAAAATATATATTCTCAGAAAGAGTGGCAAGGCATTCAAACAAGCTGCCAGGAAGGTGGTGGGGTCACTGTCTCTGGAGGTGTTCAAGAACTGTGGAGATGTGGCACTGAGTGACGTGGTTTGGTGGGCATGGTGGAGTGAGTTGATAGTTGGACTAGATGTCCTTCGAGGTCTTTTTTCAAATGTCATGATTCTATGATTCCCTCTGGGTAGTCCCAGAGAGTCCTGGAAGAGTCTGCTCACAAACTGCTCCAGTCCCACCAAAGTGATTTGTTGGGTTGACTCAAGGCCATGAGCACTGTGAGGCTCTCATGTCTGGGCAGGGGTCAGGCTCTTGCCCATCACCATTTATTTGAGAAGGCAGAGAGCACAGACCCTCTGCTTGTCCCAGCTGCCCTTAAACAATGTTTTTTGTTTGAACTGCAAAGGACAGCTTTGCAAAAAATCTTTAAAACAACTTCAAAGTCTCCTCTTGTCCAGTAATAAAAGCACAGACCTGAAACCTGGCGGAAACTGGACAGGTTTAGTAAGAGGGGCTGCTTAGCAGAAGTGCTGGAGGCTTGTCCAGATCTCCGTTGACCTCCCAGCACTATCAGGAGGAAGAAAAGACACTGAAGCTGTGCACAGCTCGCTAGCTCAGTGACTCTGATTCCTCGGCATTGTTTCTCCTGCTTGAAACATTTCCTGACTTACCCCCAGTTACTTACACCAGGAGCCTGTGACAGCACTGGGAACGAAACCCAGCTTTTGCGGTTCCAGCTCCCTGCCTTAACCACAAGGCTGCATTTCCTCCTAGTAAATGGCTATTTTATACAATAAGTGCTAAATGAAGCTCATTTTTCATTCCGTGATTGCACTCTTGGGTTTAAGAATTGGCATCGCCTCCCATCGCTCCTTGGCTTCCCCTCCCAGCACCCCGACAGCAGAAGGCTGGTGGCAAAGCCTGGTGCAGCAGCCTGCTCTCATAGCAGGGGGCTCTGCTGGAGCTGCCCAGGGGCAGGGAAAGGTTGGGGGCTGTGTATCTCCCCTCATCACCAGGCAGCTGCAGGGATGGCTGCCCGTATGGATGGGCTGAGGCTTGCCAGCTGGCGGGGGGTGTGAAAGGCATGCCAGCCCCCTCAAAGCCTTCACCGACTCCAGAAAGGCTCCTGTCCACCTCCCAGCTCTGTGCTGAGCAGCTTTGCCAGCAGATCCCCACTCATACAAGCCAATGCAAGGAGAACATCGCTCATGAGGCTTCAGCTGCAGCATATGGGCAGAGAGCTTTAAGATTGAGTCTGGACCTCAGGGGGTTTCTTGGACCCTTCATCAGGCTCTTGTGCAAGCCCCAGACCATTGCAGCAACCATGACAGCAGTCAGCTCTCACCTCTCATTGATCACACCGCTGATGGGGGGCAGCCAGTAGATGCTGAGGGAATCCTGCGTCTGCCCCGTGACCATGGGTGGGATGGGGATGGGCGTGGGCTTCTTGCCCTGGCTCCAGCGCTGGTACACCAGGTCCAGGTAGCAATGCATCCGGGCCACTTGGTTGGGGGTGAAGGTGTTGGTGCAGTCATCGTCTGGGAACGAAGGGAAACATATAGGTCGGGCTGGGGGTGGCAAGGACTGGATGGAGAGCACGGCAGCGTGCACCTTCCCCGATCCCCAAACGCTCTTTTGGGGGATGAGTGCGAGACGCCTGCGGCTCCCCGGCCAGGCTTCGCTGGTGTCGTGTATCCCCAATGCCACAAGATGGCGCTGCCTCAGCAGCCGCACGGCGGCTCCGATCTGCGAGGCCCATCACCCTGCCATACAGCAGAATTGCTCTGCGGGCTGCGGTGCTCCTATGCTGATAGGAGGAACACCGTTCCATCTCAGCACGCCCTTAGAAATAGAACCCAAAGGGCTGAACGCGAAGGTCCGACTTTACATTCTTACGTGTTGACCTCAGCCTGTCGCATCCCTGCCCACCAGAGAGGAGCACACAAAAGGGGGGCTGTGTGTGAAGGTGGAAGGAAGAGAAACCCAGCTTACTAGCAACGCTCACCCCTTCCAATTTCTAGCAGCTCACCAGTGTAACTCATGTAGTTGTTGAAGGGTGTTCCCGTGAAATACATCTGGCCACAGGTGTCGTTGGTAGGGTCTGGGTCCCGGCAGAGCTTGCTCTTTGGGGTCGGGGCGGTGTCAGCACAGAGGTCTCCTGTCTCCATAGATGGAGTTGTCTCCCTGCAGGGATCATCACAAGATTCCCGCTCGCTCACTCCCTTGAAGACGTGGTACAGCCCCAGGACGTGCCCCACCTCGTGGATCATGGTGTTCGTGTGGCCAGGCACGCCGTAATACGCAGGGTTGAGGACAACACCACCTGAAATTGCAAGCACGGAGAACATCATGAGGAGAAAGTGACAGCAGGCTGCAGTGACTCACCTGTGCTGACTGAAACTGTGCTGCTCAGGTCACAGCTGAGATGCCAGATTCAGACCTGAAGGTGGACATATCCACCGTTCCCGCAGGAAAACATCGAGTGGTTTCTCCTCTTTTTTCACACTGATGCCCTCAAAGCTTTCAATAATTTCAGCTAGCATTTCCCTCTGTGTCTTTTCCCATAAGTCAGCATCTGCTTTGGTGCACACAACTCCAAGCAAAGTCTGGAGCCAGAGCAAATGTAATGAGTTCGCAGTGATTGTCTTTTGAACCAGAGGACAAAAGATCTCCCCCTAGGTTAGACAGCTTGCCTACAGGCTCAGGTGTCTAAAGCTGATGTCTGCTCCTAAGGCAGAAGAGGAGAACAAGTGCTTAGCAAAGTCCTGACACACTTGGCTTTGCCAGCTGGAAACAACATTCAGCATGAGCCCAAAAGAAGACTGAAAAGCAGGGGGAGGTCGATGCTGACCTTGTCCCAAACACCCTGCAGGACACAGCATTTCTCCTTCCTGCCCACCTGCCTGCAGTGTGAAAAGCAAGGAGCAGTGATGCTGAGGAAAGCTAAAAGGAGCAGAGCCTTTGCTCAATGCCAACATCTCTGACTTCTGCTCCAGGGTGCAAGTTCTGTAATGGCTGTATGCCACACCTGCTGGGAAACTGCCCATGCTGGGTGCTCCAGAACAAAACTTCTCCCTCTTCTCCTCTCTTCCTTCCTTTTCTTTATTCTGCCCAAATGGAGACCTCAGTGGAAACTCTTCTTCCTTTCTCCCCGTTCTCTTGCTTTTCAGTAGCCATCTTCTCCCCCTTCCTTGCTCCCCTATCTCCTCCACGCTGCCTATGGTGCAGGAGCAAAAGCAGAATGGCATGGCAAGCTGGTTTTATCCCACTGCTGTTAACCTAGCTGTCCTGAATGGCAGTGCAGTGTATAGTTGGCTCTGACACAGCTTGCTCCCTCCTTTGCAAGACCCTGGAGGATTTTCTGTGCCAGCTACCTCGCAGCAAAGTTTTGGCTACTGCATCTTTGCTTCTGATTGCTGCCCCTGCCAGCAAAGTTAAAACTGGCAGAGGGCCACGGTGTGATCCCATCTCCAGCCACAGCATGGACAGCTTGAATTCTGCTCCTGAATCAACTCCGTGCACTACCAGACTCCCTCATGTCCTCGAGTACAGGGCATTCCTTCCAAGAGAGGGCTGCCTCCAGATCACAGTGTCCCTGGCAGGGGATCAGCAGAACTGTGACTCCTCTTGTGGAGCCATGCTGGACAAACACTGGGTTGGGCTGGAAAGGAGCCCTTAGAGGTGTCCTGAGCAATGCTTACAAACCCAACAGGTTGAAGGGGGGGGGTGAAGAAATAGGGGTGGCATCTTCTATGGAGTGTCCTGTGTTGTGTGGTGTGTGGAAAGGTGGGAGACAACAACAAGCTGCGACGTGGCACCATATCCTAGCTGAAAACTCATGCTGGTTGTTCTTTCTCCTGCATGGAGGGCAGTTTGTCGGCCCAGAGCAAAGGATGGTTACAACATTGCTATGTTCTCTTTCACCCCAGTTGTAGAACACCAGAGCAAAGGAGCTTGCACTGCTTAAGCTCCTGTTCCTACTGGTTTATGACTCGTTTTGATCCATAAGGAGCTGAGGGGTTGAAAATCCTTTCAGCACCTCCACGTTCAGTTGTGTCCTCTCATTCAGAAGGGTTCTGTACGCTGACCCTCTCCCATTTATCAGGCTGATAAGTAATACAGAGGGCACCCCATAGGTGGAGAGCCCAGTGGGGAGAGAGAAAGCTACTTTTCACTTTAGTCAAAACAAAACAGAAAGAAAAGACATCTCTGCAGCCAAACCCAAGCCTGAACAAGGCGGGGAGCTGCCTGCCCAAAGGTCTGGAAGGAGGAATGTGCATGCAGAAAGAAAATAATGTTCATAAATAAAAGAAGTGAAATGTGAAAGCCCTGCATGCATCCTGCAGCACTAACCACAGAGACGGTCAGAGGGGCACCAGAGGCTCTGCAACCAAACTGTCCTCCTTCCAGCAGAAACCCAATATTCTTCCCAAACAGGGGGAAAAAAAAATGGGATTCCAATACAAGGAGGGAGAGAGCTGTCGCAGGGGAGGGAGAGATGCCAAGGCTGGGATACCCTATTGCTCTCTCTTCGCTGCTGGCTTCCCCTAGCCCATTCCTCCCCCACACTCCATGAGGACGTTTGTATTTTTAGTACTTTGTGTGGCTAATTAGATGGCAGGATTAAAAACAGCATGAGAACTGTGCCTGATTTCCAGAACCTCCATTCTCCCCCAGCTTCCTGGTGAGCAAAGAGCTGCAGAGAGCCCCTGCTTCAGACCTGGATGCTTTGTTTGCCCTCTTGGAGGGTCCTAGCTGTGAAGCTATGGAAGTGTTTACATCATCCCACTGCACCAAGACCAGTCTCCTCTCTGGCACTCTGCACATCAGACCTTCCCCTCATCTCTGTCTCTCCTCTGGGAGATGGACTGAACTGAGCCCTCCTTCTCATGCCTGACCCCCAGGATCACCGTTTACACAACCAGGAGCTCCCAGTCCCAGGACCTCGCTCTTCTGGCTGTAATGACCAAGCAAATGCAGATGGGCTCTGCTTCACGTTGACCCCAAAGAAGCCAAACTGCTCTTGGTTCAGGGCTGTTTCAGAGAACACACGCTCAGGAACAGCAAACTGCAAAGCTAAACCTGTCTCGCAGGCCAGCCTTCCCCAAGCACTGAGTCACAGCAATTAATGGAACAAACCCATGACCGTTAGTCAGACAGGAAGATGGCCATTGCCTAAGGTACCTTTGATGGAACGACTGGCCCTCCTTCAGGATCCAGTGACCTCAGCCAGATATATGAGCTGGCCTCTGCTTATATAACTACAGAAGATGGCCTCAGCTTATATAACCACCGAAAATGTTTATAACTTCAAATATTCATGATTCTGTTGCCTTCCTACCGTGTTTGTGCAAATACAGTTCTCCTGCAGATACACAAAATTTAAAGTGTTTATATTATTGCGTTGCTGGGATTCTGAGATAAGGCTTTTTGTTGCGGAGGGATGAATTTTGTATAGGATGGGAATTCTTCATCCCTGTCTTTTGTAGTTAAAGAGATGCACAAGAAAGTTCTCAGAATATGAACTCTGGATTCCAAGCAAGAACACGCTGAATTTGAGAAGAACTCACTGTGAGTATAGTGGAAACATCAAGGTAGTAATTATGGCTACATGGAGAAGTGCAAACAGACTTCAGATTTTGCCTCTGCTGCTGGCTGGCTGCAAGTTATCTCTGTCTTGTAGCTATACAGCAGCTGAAACATGGCCTACAGAAACACCACAGACTGGGTCATGTTCTCCAAGTCAGTCATTGTCTTTTGCACTTCAGTAAGCACAGTTGCTGCTTGCCGGTATTTTGTAGAAGAAATGCTAAGTCACAGCTTGAAGCAGTGATGGAGCACCTGGTGGGAAGGCAGGGCCAACCCAGGAGAGCTCAGGTGCAATGAAGCTGAGTGACCAGAAGGGATGGAGCCAGGACCCACCCCTTCCCTGACCTCATTTAAGGGATGGCAGTGGGGGCAAGGGGATCTTGCTGGAGATTCTTGCCACACCTGAGGTCTCTTGAAGGTAAGAAGTTTTTTCTTTCTTTTTGTGCTAGTAGTTGTTGTGTTTGTGCAAGCCCTCACTTACTACAACAAAGGACCTTGCTGCTTTGCTGTTATTGCTGTGCTTTCCATCATGTTACCAGTTGGCTGAGGAATTGCAGAAAGTGGAAATGCTTGTAGGAATGTGGAGAGAGCCTGCTGAGTGGATATGCTCAGGTGTTATGAAAGAGTTTCTACAGAGTTCAAAGCCCAGACTGAAAAACTACTGGCAGAGTGAAGAACAGTAACTTGAGAACAGTTATTCTGTGGGTGTTGGGATGAGAGAAAGGGTTGAAACTGAAGAAAAGAGTTGGAGAAAGAAGTATTGTGGTACTTCTCTTTAATTCATCCATGGACATCCAGTTCTGGTAGAGATATGTAAACAAGTAGAGAGTAGAGTGTGACCAGAAGGTAGGTTAGCTTCTAGAAGTCAAGTAGAACTCCAAGACCAATCTGATTCAGTAGGAGAATCAAAGTAGAGGAGAACAGTTTTGGTGGAGGGTTATGTCTGTAAGGAACAAAGAGTGTGGCATCTCTGATGAGAGAGAACACAGGCTGGCCTTAAAATGTGACCATCAGGAAGGACAGGAGCCTAGCAGAAATCACTTGGAGGGAGGGAGTGTGTCTTGTTGGAGACTGGCTCCTCTGTTCTGCGAGGACCTGTCACCACCCCTTGCCACTGCTAGTTCCTTAAAGCTCAGAGAACTTTCTCAAGTTACTATTCACTCCTCCCAAGGTTTCCTTGCTCTTTCCTCCTTGCTGTACCTTCACATTTACTCAGATTCTCCAGTTACCTCCTACTCAGTCCTAAATTTCTTCTGTGCTGACAATAATATACATTGTGTGTGGTACGAAGCACTTGACGAGCCTACTGTTTACAGAGAACAGTCAGTCACCCTCCCTTCCCAGCTCATTAAACCTAAACCTAAGGACAGTCTCTAACCAAAGTCTTTGGTCTGTGCCAGAGCCTCGGAGAAGTTCAGATCCAGCTTCACACTTCACAGCTCTGGCACCAGAGCCAGGCCAACACCCCTCTTCCCCTGAACCTCTGCAGTAAAATCCTGATCCAACATTTCCAGATGGTGCCACTCTGCCTAAGGGCTCTGGCTGGACACAGGCTCCAAGAGCAAAGTTAAATGCAAGCTTTTGATTAAAGTGGTTACCCTGATTTCCCTTCTGTGCAACCCTTTGCAAGCCATTGGGTGGGGTCTGACGAGAACATGTGTGGCTGAAGCACTTGCTGTAGGAAGATGATTGTCAAGCCGAACCTTGGAAACGATTTCTGGAAGCCAAGGGAACAAATTTCATGGAGATTTGCCTTCCTCAACTAGCGACTGTAGCACTATGCCATTGAAAAACCATTGAGGGAGGGAAGCTGGCAAAGAAGAGATTTAAAACAGGTCTTTAAGAGTAGTGTAAAACTGAAGAGTCGCACATCATACGCTGGTAAAAGCAGAAGGTCTAGGTCTGCTGTGCAGGTGTCACGAGTAATTATTTCCAGTAACTTATTGAGAAACACTTTAGATGTTTTGACTACAAAGTGTAAAGAGCTCTGCCAAAAAACTCCAACATTGAAGAGGAGGAGGGAGAGGCAGGAAAAAAGAGAGACTGTAGAAATAGGAGAAAACACACAGTGCATTTACGTTCTAGTGAAGCGTTGCAGTTTTAACAATTTTGGAGCTTGCCAGGACTGATGACCTTTATGGGCTGCCTTGAATTCACTGAAGCCAAAGAGTACCATGCCTTCAGCAAGTAGCAAGCCAAGTTATAAAAACATGGCTTAAATTTGATAGTGATCCTCACATTTGCAGCTGGATTTGGAAGTGGATGGTGCTTGGTGCTCTGCTCTGGAGATATTGGAGATATTCCATATCTGGAATCTTGGCTCTAAAGTAGCTGAGACCCCTTGTTTATGTTTCTCGTTGGTGAAGCTGACCATTCCTAGCATCCTGGTGGATGGGGTCTGGATGGTCTGAGAGAATCCACCCCACGCCATTGTAGGATCAGCCTTTCCTAAACCAACAGGACTGAGGTGACTCTTGCCCCCTCTCCAGAGCCTGCAGCTCTACCCATCATCTCTTCACCAATATGTCACAGGCTACCTGAACAGAATTGCTCAGTGCTGAAATGCCAACCCATGCCAAAGAAGGGCTAAGCTGGAGGATCAACCCCGGAATTTCATTAAGCATACTGTAAGTGAAGACAAAAGTCTTTGTCTCAAAATATAAGCTTGTTTTTTCTCCCAGCTCTACCTGAGAACAAATTCTAGTGCATCTTTTCAAACAGCCAACTGAGACAGAAGTGGAAAAACCCTGAGACCCCATTAGTCAGGCAGCTTGCTTACCCAAGTGACTTAGGGCCTCTTTATCCCATGGCCAAGTGGCAGCACCAGCCAGCTCTTCCCTCACAGAGCTGGCAAAATAAACGTTGAGGAAGTGGGTGCTGTTCAGCTGCAGTGCCTCCTTCAGCTCCTTCACACTCATGTATGCCCTGCAAGGACAAGGGAGAGCAGACAGTCAGCAAACACATCAATGCAGCAAAGAGGACAAGTGAGAGCAGCCCACGGTTGAGCTGGAAGGGGTTAGTGTTGAGGTTGGGTGGGATGCAGTCATGCAAATCCAAAGAATTGTTGCCAACGTTTTTAATCTGTTTGTAGGATTTCACAACCATGGTTCTACCCATTTCCTCCAGGCAACAAGTATGGTGGGTGGTGAAGAATGGGGAATCCCTGCAGAACGCAGGTATGTAGTGTATCAGAGGGTGTGCAGCCTCACCCCCATGCCTGCATGTTGCACAAAGAAGCAGAGTATGAACAACGTTTTGCTCCAAGACATCTTTCTTCCAGCTCTGCTCAAAATGGAGTGTGGCCTGGCCTTGAAGAAATTATCTCTGAGTAGGTTGGGCTGGGATGGCTGCAGGAGAAGTTCTGGAGCTCTGAAATAAGGGAGAGAGAAGCAAGTTTGGAAACGGCTCCACCAAAGGGCATGTTTAGTGGGGAAACCTCATGGTCACACTGCTGCCTGTCTCTCCTCCAGTCTCCGAACTGTGACTAAACAGTTACTGGAATAAAAAAAGAAATACCTGGAATGGGGATATCCAAGATATCCATTTCTGAAGGGCACAAGAAGGTGATGAACTGGGAGAGGTGAGAAACATTGCACTCGTCCTACAGTGAACAGCAGAGCAGCAGCACTCATGGGTGCTGGGTCATCTCTGAAATGATCCTTACTGCATCCATGGGGCTGGCATGTCTCAGTGCTTGGAAAAAGAATGATAGTCAGGAAGTTTAGGTTTTGCTCTCCCATCTATGGGGTGCTTTTTGCATTGGTCAGATCTATTCTGCATTCACTGGTATACCAGCAGTGTTGATCTTTACAGAGTTCATGTCCTCAGCTTTGTAAAAGGATCAGGATTTAACTCAATAACAACAATTCCAATAAAAATAGTAGTGGGATTGTAGGGCCTTGGGCTCTGCTGCAAGTGCCAGGTGCTCTTTTAAATTAACTACTAGTGTTTCCACTATTGGTGCCATGAACCTCATGAGCTGAGGCAGCACTGGGACAGGTAGCCCTAGACTGTCTCTGAGTCTTCAAAATCTGAGGAGCCTGACCCCACAGTTCATGAAGCCAAGGGGAAGGCTGCGTTAACTTAAGAGATCCTAAGGGGAAAGAAAACACATGGAAAGGCTTCAAATACATCACTGTGGAATGATGATGGAAATGCACCATTGTGGAAATATGTCATAAGAATGACTAAATCCCCAGCATGAGGCCAACAGCAACATTAAGGTGGTGAAAAGCATTTCACTTATTCCCATGCTTCCAGGAGCAATTGGCATCCTCGAGCCCTGCAGAGGGATCACGAAGGGAATACAACCATTTCTTTACACTGGACCAGCCATGAAGGCTCACCGGCTGTGTTTGAACTAGCAGCTTCTGTAAAAGTGGTATCCATTAGAGCATTCCTCACCACGCTGAATTGTGGAAGAGAGAACTAAAAGTTAAACTAAGAGGGCTAAGAGGAAAAAAGCATGTTATTGTCCAAGATGTGAAATGAGAAGGGAAGCCAGTGAGAAATGTGCAAATACACTGTTTGAAATGGCAAGATCCCTAGCGAAGTTATTATACCAACAGACTTGTTTAGAAAGAGAGAGGTTGCTACAGCAAATGGAAGAAAAGGAGGAGAAAGTGAATCAAAAATTTAAAGGAACAAGGCTTCAAAAGCACGCCAGAGCAGGATGGCATGTGGGAAGTAGCACATCGAATCAAGTGTGACCATCTTGCTGAATCTGAAATAGCATAGGTTTTCAGAAGTCATTACCAACTTTGTGAATATCAAATAATCGGAGTCTGCTGACTACGTTCCCCATAATTCCATTCTGATAGGCCATCCTGTCCTGGACATCTCAGCCACCTTCTCTATGACAAAGCAGTTCCAAAACATCAGCCACTGCAGAAAAATCTTGGCTGAAGCATAAGGCAGCACTTAACGGTGGGATGAGATGACCATCTCTTCTTCACCAGGCCCTGAGATCTCCCACCACAAAGCAGCATTCCCAGCATGTTTTCCCCAGGCACATAAGCTTGTGGAAAGAAAAACTCTCCCAACCGGAAACAGCAAATTAGGATAACATGATCTCTTATTTGTGATGTCTCGCCTGAGCATCCCAGACACGCGCCACGCTGACGCCATCTCTGCAACCCAACCAAGATGGGAGCAGGCTGGGAGGAATAGATAGAGAGAAGAATAAATAAACCTGAAGGACATATTTGTGGCATGACTCGGAAGGAAGAAAAGCAAAAATTTCATAGAAATAGAGTACAAGGAGGGGAGAAAAAGCCTCCCTTATGCACCAGAGCTGCTCGGGGGACACAGAATTAAAAATAATGTTGATTCCTGACCTATGATATCTTGGAAAAATAGCCCCAAACCCTTCCAGGCTGTCCAAATTCCGAGAGCTAACGTCAGCCCTATTCAGAGGGATATTCCTGCTGCCTCTCTTCTGGAGACATCATGTTTTTCTGGCTGTCGCCTGCTGTTCCCTTGACACTAGCAACATTTTTTGGTCAACCCTTAATTATAAATAACTAATTTCCTCCATTGAAAGATTTGGATGGTTCAGAGTTGTGTTAAGGGTAGGGGGAGCAGTCCCAGCATGGAGATGCTCAGATGGATGGAAGAGGAGAGGAAGGGACTCCGCCCACCATGGCAAAGAAAGCATCACATTCTGCCGGCATCCCCAACAACACGAGCAAGACCAAAACGACCCTAGAATGGGCAACTCTGATTCCCCTCAAACCCTCTTTTCCATTGGCATTCCTAGCTGAGACAAGGAGCATGCAACTGGCGTCTTTGCCTGTCACTTACTGCCAAGGTCATGCTCTCCCTCCTTTTCGGCGCTTCTGTGATTTTCCCTGGGGATGGCAGAGAAGCTTTTGGTCTCCATGAAAGAACCAAATGACAGACTTCTCCTCTGCTCCCTGAATAGCTTCCCAGCTCTTCCAAGATTGGAGAATTCTGAACTAGATGATATTTATGTGCCGTGGGTGCTGCAAACTGACACAGAAGCACAGGGAAAGCCAGAAGGATACGTGGGGAGGGGGGGAAAAATAATGAGGAAAAAAAAATCACCCAAGAAATAACACCCTCTTTGCACAGAGAATAAAGGAGAAGACAGAAGAGAGGCATAAAATGTCTTCAGTTTTGCAGACATTTCTCCAGGAGCATAAATAAACTCGGTGAGCAGCTAGAGCCACTTGGGCCTGGGGAGTATGTGCACCCCTGGGAGAGTGCAGCTCTCAAGAAGAGTATATGCAACAGTGGATGGAGAGTAAGGTAGGAAAGGTCATAACCTGCCATTGCCATCATGGACATGAACACCATTTGGAATGGTGATGTTTGAAGGACTGAGTCCAGATACGAGGGCTTCCATCATGCCAGTGCTCAGCAGCACTCACCTACGGCACTGCTAACTGAATGATGCTAGTGAATAATCTGACTGCAAGGAAGGCTTAGGTACTGTGTGAACACTTGTAGAACTCATGGCTGCTGGAGAAGCAGGATGGGGAAGCCTAGATCTTGCACTGTTCTACAGCAGTACAGTGGAGCAGCACTGATGCTTCTGTGGTCTTTGTAATTGGTCACGAGCACAGAACTGTGTATGGGACAGGATGTACTGTCACTGTATGAAGTTTCATACAATCAGTGAAGGAGATGAAAACAGGAAGTCCAGCAGCTTCCATGACTGTCTCCAAAGAGGTGTGGATTCAGAGACCCGTAAGTGCAGCTGGAAGGGGCTTCCACAGGTCACGTAGTCTGACCTCTTAAGGTACAAAACATGTCTAATTACATGAAGTTGCTCAGGGCTATGCCCAGCTGAAAGCTGAACAGCTCGAAGGACAGAGGTTTCATTACCTCTCTTGGAAATCTATTCCACTATTTAGTTGCTTTCATGGAAAAAAAAATCCTAACACCTAATCTAAATTCCTGATGCTCTAATGAAGGCTTGAAGACCCAAAGATTCCATTCTAAGCAGCTGAAAAAATCATACTTTGTTCCAAGCCTCCAAGGAAAGCCTTCACATCCTTTCTTGTGTGTTTACTTGCACCATTTTTTCTTAATCCATGAGGGAGGCAGAATCTTTCTACTCATGGTTATAAGTCGAGGTCTGTGTTGACTTAGCCAATACAGAAGACTTGGTGTTCTTCAGCAAGCAGCAATTTCTGGCAAAAATAACAGGAATGCTGCTGGTGCAGAGGTGGGAAAGAGCAAAAGGATTTGCTAATCTACTGGTTGGTTGAATGGGCAAACTCTTAATCTGATTTTGTTTAAGTTGAGAGAAGAGAAGCAAGAGCAGCAAAAAGTCTTGGTGCCATAAAAATGGCCATTGGAATGACCAAGGAAAGGCAGAAAATGGCACTTCTGAATGAAAAGCAAGACCAACATGTACCACGCAGCACCATAAATCAAACTGAATTCTCTGGGTATTGCAGAGGATACAGTGTGTAATGCCACAGGAATTAAACTGCAATGCAAAAATAGAATTCTTTTCCCTGTAGGCTTTTCAGAAGGGATGTGGGAGTGGGGTTGAATGGAAATTGTCCAAGTGCCCTCCATGGACAGCTGGAAAATACTTGAGACACAGCCAGCTCCAGGCTAACTATCCAGCCTAATGAAGTCACAGGGGATTCTGCTTTCATGTCTCTCATCCACCGCACCGAAATTCCTACTCCTGCCAAGCAGGGAGGATCCTTTCTTTCCCCAAACCTCTTCTTGACAAATGAGGAATCCCTCAGACTTCCAAGGAACATGAACCAGCCTGCCAGTAACTTGTGCTGACAGCATGCTCCCCCAGGGCAGCAAAGGGTTAACACAAGGTGTTAAAGACAAAGAGCCACGACTCAGCCGGTGAAGGCAGGTGTTGAGCCAAGTGGCATGAATGTAATCGGGGGCAGACTCTGCATTCTCCATCTCATTAGTGAAGAGATGCT